CCTTAGGTGTACGTGGCTGGCGCCTTAGCCGGTTGAGCTATAGGCGCCGAGCCCAGCCAATGACATTTTTGCAATGAACAAACTACAACTTCACACTGAGGCCCTGTCCACTACCTGTGGCCAGCACCCCACCTACATTCTTATCTCTCAGGGCCTCCCCATCCCTTCTGGACCCTTGCCCAATGGCAGGGCAGCTGTACTCACGCTTCCAAGGGCAGGCGGTGGGGGCCTGAGACAGAGTAGCGGTAAAGGAAGGTGAGGAAGGCGCGGAAGGCGGGGAAGGCAGGCCAGCGGGACAGCACAGCAATGGCACGCCGGCTACGCACGGCACGGCCCCCCAGTGCCCGGCCCCGCTCCACAGCGCTCAGCAGGCCCAACACTCGCGCTTGCCGCTCTGACAGCCTGGCCCTCGGGAATGCCTCATAGAATTGCAGGGCAGCACCATACACCTGGCAGGAGGCAGAGGAACAGTCAGGAAGGCCCTGTACAGCCTGGACCCCTCCCATCCCCCACACACCCACCTTATCACCAGCTGCACCCGTGAGCACAAAGGTGGAGAAGACGGGCACAGGGTACTTGGTCTGGGCAGGCCAGCATTCGATAGTGGCCCCCATGGGCAGGCAGAAGACGGGCACTGACTCAGGCAGTGGAAATGCCTCATTGTCCTTCTCCGGGTAGCGGCCCAGCAACTCTGCAACCCCAGCAGAGAGGGGGTACCCAACAGGAGGAGGGTCCATCAGACTCCAGGGGAAGGAGCCAGGGGATCCCAGAGGAGAGCCAAGTGGCAAAGAGGAAGTAAATTCTGGGGGACACAATGGTGCCAGCCATGAAGCACCAGGGCAGAGGAACAAGGAGGGTCAGGGTTCAGGGACAAAGAGGGCTACTCACCTGCCTCATACACCAGTGTGTTGGCCTTGGCCAGGCCCACCTTGTAGCATAGGTACACTGCTGGGCCCCACTGCCCCAGAAATGGCAAGAGACAAGCATATACATAGCTAACAAGGGTTTCTGAGGTCCATTGCTCTTCACCACCCCTAAATAAATCTTTCATCTTTAGAGATCCCATTAATAACTATCCCCCACAGCCAGAGTCACCCCTCTGGGCCCACCCTTGCTGTCAAAGGCCTTGGTTCCAGAATACTCTTTATGCCTAGTGTCCACTCTTCTACTAAGATGGCCCAGGTCTCAGCTCTTGGCCTCACTCACCATGCCAGGGTTGAGGTTGCGGGGCAGCCGGCAGTAAGTATGAGGAGTGCCCTCACCCTTGCTGGGCAGTACCAGGCAGAGGTCAGTGATGCCCAGGGCATGCAGCCCTGCCCCCTCTGCTGCCCGCCGATAAGTGAGGTAGGTACGGGGGTGTCCAGGGCCTGGAGGAGCCAAGTTGGCCGAGTGGCTGTAGGGCGTTGTGTCAAGCACTTGGAAGCCAGGCTTGGGACGCTCCTTCCCCTCATACAGTACCCTTGGCACAGAGAGCAGAAATGTCAAGAGATCAGGGTAGACGAAAAAGACCTCAAGGCTGCCATACCTGCCTATCTAGTCCCTAAACCTGCATTGGACCTTCAGCTTTGTCAAACTCCAACACCAGAGCCTATCTCTTCTAGCTGAACTCTACCCTCTAGAATCCCACGCTCCCTCACTAGCCCTTGGCTTTACTTCTTGTTAGTAACAACCTCACAAGCTTCCATGGCTCTCATATGCATTAATGAAAACTAGGAACAATATAAGCAATCAGTGATGTGCCTGTGCCAAGTCCCTTACATGGGTTATCTCATGTAATCATCTCAGTTGTTATCCTATGAGGAGGTTTTATCCTGACAAAGATGAGGGGACGGGCCCAGAGGGGCTCAATAACCTGCTCAAGCTCACAGTGCTCACAAGCAGTGCACTAGCAGAGGGACCCAAATCTGTGAGAGCTATAGGGTGTCTTGTCAAGCACATACAACTTCAGTCCCCCCCACTCCCGGCTACTCACCCAGCCTACTCCCATTCTCGGTGCCTTTCCCTTGTCCCTGACCCAATCTCTTCCTATCTCACCCAAATCCCTCCTAGCCTTCCCTAGTGCTAGCATGGGTAGGGACACCCACCCCAGCTCAACAAGGGGGGGCTTGTCACGGCCCCTGCGGTAGCAGATGACAGGCTGAGTTCCACCCAGGAGTCCGGCGCTGAGTTCCAAGGGGTAGCCCCCAGTAGAAGCTTGGATACACGTGTAGCCCTGAGGCACCTCCTCGCCTAGTGCCCTAGCGATGACTGCCACATCTGTGATGGGCTCAGCAGGCCGGGGAGGACGCAGGGGTCCACTGGGTTCTGGAACCCATGTTTCTTCTGGGATGGGTGCGCCATTCCCTGCAAGTCCAGCTACCACGAAATAATCTACCAGCCGGGGGGGCCGCTCCTCCGCCATGGCCCCCCCCTCACTCACTGCATCTAGAATGGTCAAGTGGGAGAGAGATGAAGAAAGTAAGGTGGGGTTGCCATGGCAACCAGGGTGACCCCCACCACAAACACACCTTGCTCCTCTCCTCTTCCTAATTCTTCCAAGGAAAGGCAGGATAAGTGGTCAGCCAATCCTGAACTCTCCTGCCTGTGACATCATCAGGCTCTTGCAGCCCACAGAGCTCCTTAAAGAGATCAGGCCCCTCCCACTTAGTGGTACCAGCCCTCACTCCTAAGAACCCAACAGGCATGACATTGTGGGTTTGACACTGTGCTATTCATGTAGCCCTTGAGGAGAGGCCCACCTCTCCTCACTCTATGCATAGAGTTATAACATCACAGAGATCACAATCTTTTCTGTAAGCCTGCCATGACATCATCCAATCTGGGCATGAGGTCATACCTATACAGTTTTTTTAAGGGTTTCCGACCTTCCTACTCTAACATTGTAAGACTCTCATGATCCAGCAAATGTTCTTAGGTTCTTTATGGGAAACCCCACAAAACCCAAGTGTTAAGAGTCTTGTCACCAGACTCCAGTGCCCTTTTTCCCTTCTTAACTCCGCCAGCCTGGCCAAAAAACCCACTGTTCTCTTCTAAGACCTTAGGTATCTCCATTTAGGCCCAAAGTAGCTATGGGAGACAGTCCCAGCCTCCCCACAATCTCCCCCCTGGAACCTGAGAAACAAGGCCCACAGCGATAGCCCTTCAGTAACTGTTCTCACCTGTCTCCATGGCCCAACCCCCAGGAGCAGGAGCCCCAAGGGTCCTGAGGTGCCCCACAGTGCAGAAGTGAGTAAAGAGCCTGGTGGGTGGCTCCCAGCAGAGGGTGGGAGGCACGTGGGGGCGCTTAGAGGGGAAGGGGGGGTCACTTCCTGAAACAGAGGGGAAGCAGCAGCCCAGAGGAAGTCAGCTTGTGGGTGTGTGATGGGTGCCAGCACAGCATCATGCCAAGTGTAACCTCCTACTACAGGACCCTGAGCAAGGCAGACATGGCTCTGCAGGGTTCCAGAATGTTAAGTCCTACTCACTGCCTGCTCTCCCCAAAAGAGAGAGCTAGGCAATCTCACAGACCCAAGCTGGCTCTCTTCTTAACTTGGCCTTTGGACACACACACCCCTCCCAAGCGCTGCTAAATTTAGCCTCCGCGTCTGGGAGGTGAAGCCAGGAGTCAGCATCAGCCTCCTGATTTAACTCTAGAGCACAGCCCTGTCCTTATCCACTGCACACAATTCGAGTCCCATGCCCAAAGCATAGGCAGAAACCATCAGGTAGAACTAACGGGCAAATGGGTGACAGCCACCCGCGGGACCTGTGCACTCGGGCCTCCCGGCACTCAGGCTGGGAAGTCTTGCAGGAAGCAGCGCTTTCGCCAGGGAAAGGCAACACGCACAGGAGCCACCCCGGGTCCCAACGCCGGGCGATGAGAAGTTCAGGTTGGGGCAAAGGGCGCGCAGAGGGAGGAGAGGCGGCGGAAGAAGAAGGAGGGCAGAGAGAAGCGAGCGCGCAGGATGCCAAGGACGTGACAGCAGCAGTGCCGGCCGCCGCATGACCCGAGGGGAGGGAGGCGGCTCCGACTCCAGCCCCCGCAGGAGCAGAAGAGGAGCCGGATGCCCGGCACCTCCTGCGTACTCCGGGCTGTGTCCTCCCTCCACTTTCACTTCCCCAAGAGAGAGGAACCAGAACAGATGTGCAGCTCGGGAGAACAGCTGGGGTCTATCCCCGCCCAGACTGCGCGTCCTCCCTCCTTCCCCGCCCGCCGCCCCGCCTGGTCCAGCCCTACCTGCCGGCCCCGCGACTCCCCGGCCGGCCGGCCCGCTGGCGGGTGGTCGGGAGGGCGGGCTGGCGGGCCGGCGGGCGGCAGGCGACCCAGCCCCGGACATGGCGCTCCCGCTCGGGCGGCGAGGGAAGGAAGAGGCGGCCGAAGGCAGCAGGGCGCGGGGCGCCGTGGAGGGAGATCTCAGCGGTCCCAGCGTCCCCGCCGTGCTACGCCGGGACCGTGCCGCCGCGCCGCTCGCTTCGGCAGCTCGGCCCACCCAGCTCCTGCGGCGCCGGAGCCTCAGCGCTCCTCCGCGTGCCCGGCTTTTTCTACTTCCCCAGGCGCCCTCCCTGACCGTGGGCACCGCTGCTAGCGCCCCCCCACCTCCCTTCCTCGGCCGGCGGCCGTGACCCTGGGCAAGCGCGTTCCCAGTGTCCAGCCTCCTGCAGCGCGACCCCTGGCGGCTGGGAGGGCTCGCTGCACTCAGACGTTTGCAGACATCCCGCCGGTGCCGCAGGACACTGACCCCAGCCGGCCCCAGAGTCAGAGGCACGCGCCCATCCTGCAGTCAGATGTGTGCTTTCCTCTGCGAAGGTGAAGGCCCTTAAGGCTCAAGCTGTGGGGGCCTGGGTGGCTCCCCCCACTTCCAGGTTTGGGGCACGTTGCATTCCCTTCCGGCATGAGCCAGAAGCTCTCAGTTCTCTTTTCTGTAAATGACAAGAGCTTTGGAAAGAGGAAGAGGCCAGGACTGCGGGGTGTGGAATAGAGTAGTGGTGGAGGGGCACTGTGGGTAAGAAAGAAGAGGTCCAAATGGTCAAAAAGCTAGCAACCCAATCCAGAAAGAGGAGAGCTATGTAGAACACGGATGGCATTCAAAGATGTGTTCAAGTAAAACTAAAATCTGAGTGGATTACAGTGGAGAGTGAAGCAAATCCACACGCAGTTGTGGGGGTGTGTGGGAGTGGGGTCTCACTTCCTTGAGACCTAGGAGCATGTGGTTAGAGGCAGGTCCTTTAAACTTAAAAGGGCCATAAAGAAGAGCCAGCTGAGGGCGGTGCCTGTGGGTGAGTAGGGCGCAGGCCCCAAATCTGAGGGTGGCAGATTTGAGCCCAGCCTTGGCCAAACTGCAACAAAAAACAGCCAGGCATTGTGGTGGGTGCTTGTAGGCCCAGCTGCTGGGGAGGCTGAGACAAGAAAATCGCCTAAGCCCAAGAGCTGGAGGTTGCTATGAGCTGTGATGCCACAGCACTTTACCCAGGGCAACAAAGTGAAACTCTGTCTCAAAAAATAATTTTTTTTTTGGTTGCAGTTTTTGGCTGGGCTTGAACCCCCACTTCTGGTATATGGGGCCAGTGCCCTACCCCTTGAGCCACAGGCACTGCCCCTCAAAAAAATAAAAAGAAAGACGAGCCAGCTGAGACCAAATGCCCTCTTCTTGGAAGCCTCAGCACTGGCTGGCTACCCCTAGCAAAGCTGGAGTCTTTCTACTGGAAACAACAGGCCCATGAACTCAGCTAGCAAACACCTCTACCGCTGAATCCTCTTAGCTTACTACCAGGCCTTGGGTTGAGGAAGAGTAGTAACTTGTCAGGCCAAAGCCCCCATTCCTTGATGTTACAGCAGGGCCAGATACATAAAGCAGGGCACGCAAGTGACTTCCTGCTGTTATGGAAGCCTACATCCATCCTGGGTCCCCCTGTCCAATGCTAGGTACAAATCCTGAGATTGCAGGGCTCTTCCACAAAGCACAACAAATAAAAGGGCCTATGACCAAAAAACTCCCTACATCCCCAGCCATACCTCAAATAGCCAACCACACCAAGAGTTTGATAAGATTTTTTTATTAACATATAATATAATTAATAAAAAATAACATCCACTCTGGCTCTCTCCTCCAACTGCAAGGGGAAGAGTGGTGAGGAGGGGCTGGTGCACTGCTCACCCCTAGGCATCTGGACAAGCCCTACCTCCAGGGCCCCCCTCTACCCCCTGCTCTCCAACAGGCTCTGACCTCCATACAGATGGTTCAAAGTTACAAAGGCTTTAGTCCCTCCCTTGAGCTCCCCCAGGCCTACCCCTTGTGCAGAATACAGAAGAAACCTGGACAAACCCGTGGCTTTTTCTCATTCTTGGAATTCTTCATTCATGCTAGAAAGAGGATCTGGGGGCAGAGAGTAGAGTCTCTACTGGCCAGGGGGAAGGGAGGGAAGGGACCATGATAGGGGACAGGGCCAAAAAAAGGGATGTTGACGATGTCCCTCACTGGAGCCGGTCACTGCGGAATGAATCCTCTACTGCAGGGTCGGGCAGCAGGGCGCAGGGGTCACTCAGCATGTTGAGCCCTTCTAGGCCCAGTGGCTCCATGTGTAGCTCATCTTCTAGCCCCAGTCCCAGTTCCAACCCAGCTGTGGACACCTCAAAGCCAGGCACTCCGGCCAGGGCTGCTGCAATCTCCTTAGAGAAACCTGGAGAAGAGTCTTCTGTAGATAGAGGAGATGGGTGAGGGCCCCTTCCCCTACAAACTCTTATGAGACCCCTTAATATTTCAACTGTGTCCCTCCTTCCTTCGGTTCTCCATCTCTACCCATACCCCCTCACCTGTGAGGATGATGTTAGGCTCTGAGCCATGGCGGGAACAATGGGTCAAGTTCTCGTGGTTGAGAGTGTGGGAATCCTGGGGGCCACCTACTGGCCTTTCTCCCCCTGAAAATCCAGGCCCTTCAGAAAAGCCAGAGGGATCCAGTGCCAGGCTGGCTGATGGGCTCTCCATGCTGAACTGCTCCAGCTATAGACACACAGACCTTGAGAAAGTGGGCTTTGGAATAGGCGTTCCTGCTTGGACCTGCCTCACCCTGCTAACACATCCCCTTTACCAAGCAATCTTCATCCACCTCAGATACAGAGGCAATGACAGAGGGAGATGGCAGCAAGCAGAGCAACAAAAGCAAGCACGGGGCCCGAAGTAGGTGTGGGCACCGTACCTGCTGGGCCAGAGCATGTGCATGCCAGGAAGAGAACGGGTCAAGGCAGCAGTCATCAAAGAGCAAGCTGAGCAGAAATAGAGGGGCAGGAATAGGGGTCAAACGCAGGAAGAAAGGAACTCCAAGCTGGCAGTGCTATGTTACTCAGGGAAGGGGAGCTGTCCCTCCACCTAGATCTCCCAATTCAGAGATATACTCAGAGATATACTCAGGCCCCCTTGACCCACTCTCATCCTCTCCCCTGCTTCTTAGTACTCACGTTCCCCAGGCTGAAGTCATTCATTGGTCGGTGGTAAGACTGCTGCCTGTGCCCACTGGGCCCAGGTGTGTATAGTGTTGCGTAGTGCAGCTGTCTGCCTGGGGGCTGGCCACCTGAGGGCTGCACTGAGCAGGCCTGAGAGGGCAGCCCTGGCTGCTGTAGAGGCTTTGGGGTGGGTGGCTGGGTGGGCAGAACCAGACTTGGGGGGGTATAAGGGTATGGGGGCAGCCGCTGGTCAGTGGGCAGTTTACTGGTGTCCAGGGGGACGCCCTGAAAAGAAGGAGAAAGGGGGAAGCTTACCCCTTCACTGTGCTCCTCAGAAAGAACTCTTAGTCATGGCTTCCTACTCTCTTAAGTTGTAATTATCCTCAAGTTCAATATTCCCATAGGGTTGAGTATAGTTGCTCAAAAACGCACATCAGAATGAAAGTGTAACTGAGTAAGGCTAATACAAGAGCAATTTTGAATTCACTCCAGAAGGAAACCATTTTTTAACTTTGGTACCTGAACTACTGATACATCTCACAAGTGATTAATAACACCACAGTGGAGTTGAGAACTGCTATTCCAGAGCATGGAAGAGGCCAGAGGTAGCAGGAGATGAAGAAAGGAAAGGAGAAAATGAGGAAAGGAAGTTATGCTCACTCCATACCCCAAGAGCAGAGCCCTTGCTGGCCTGGCCTCAATTTTTCCTACAGGAGAGGGGACCTGGGTAAAGATGGAACACAGAACACACATTCCAGGGAATAGCAATGGACAAAGAAAGAGTTGGGCAGAGGAAAGGAAAAGAAGAGCATTAGGGTGAAAGAAAAGGGAGCAGAGATAGCAAAAAAGAAGAAATGGATAGGGAAGGAGGAAAAGGCTGAGAATTTTAGCATTAAGGAAAAAAACCTTTCAAAGTAAAAGTTTTAAATTCTGGTCCCAAATCTCTCTACTTGCTATATAAACTTGTTAAAGTCACACTCCCTTTGGGCCTAAATTTTCTCATCTGTAGAATGAAGGGACTGGGTTTCCTGAACTGAAATTCTCTTGACTCTGAATCCTATGAAAGAAGTGAAAGAAATGGGAGGGGAAGATGAGATGGGGAAAGATACAGGCATGAGAAAAAAGACAAGACCCAAGAAGGGAAAAAAGGGAAAGATTAAGCTACTATTTATCTAGCACATAACTAAGCCAGGCATGGTGCTCAGTACTTTATCTATTTACTTATTTATTGAGACAGAGTCTCACTATGTCACCCTTGGTAGACTGCTGTGGTGTCACAGCTCATAGCAACCTCAAACTCTTGGGCTTAAGCAATTCTCTTGCCTCAGCCTCACAAGTAGCTGGGACTATAGGTGCCCGCCACAACACCCAGCTATTTTTTTTTTTTTTTTTTTTTTGGTTGTAGCTGTCATTGTTGTTTGGCAGGCGCAGGCTGGATTCGAACCCACCAGCTCAGGTGTATGTGCCTGGCATCCTAGCTGCTGAGCTACAGGCGCCAAGTCCTATTTTTCTATTTTTAGTGGAGAAGGGTCTCAAACTTAAGAGCTCAAGCAATCCACCTGCCTTGACCTCTTGGACTGTAGGATTATTGACCCACCATGCTTGGCCTCAGTACTTTATGTATGTTATTTGATCCTTAAATAACTATCCCTGTTCTATAAATGAGGATACTGAGGTTTATAGAAGTTAAATAACTTTTCCAAAGAGACTGCTAGTAAGAGGCAGAGCCAGGATTTGAAACCAAAAAACTTAATCCCAGAGTTTGCACTCTTAAGCAAGAAGAGGTAAGATGGATAAAAGATGGGGCAGGTGGAAAACAGAGGACTGGTAGGGGATGGATGAGACAAGCAGTGCAGGAAGTAAGGAGAAGAAGTATTTGAGGAAAGAAGGGAGAGAACAAACAAGAGAAGAGAAAGGGGAAGGGAGACAGACATGTAGGGAAAGGCAGCCATGCATACCTGAGTGATGGAAGACAAGGTGGGTGACATTGTTGGCGAAAACTGTTTGGGCAGCTGCTGTTGGGACCTTCTGGCGTCGGCTGGGCCCACAGGCAAACTCAGGGGGCTGAGGGGCACACGGCGGTGGCGGGGAGAGGCCCCAGGGGTAGAAGCTGGGTAAGGGAGGGCACCCAGAACAGGGGATGAAGTAGAGGAGGAGGAGGAGGAAAGGGCAGGGGCACTGAGTGAGGGATGGCCCAGGGAAGTAGTGGGCAGTGCATGGCGGGCCAAGGAGGAGGCTGGTAGTGAGGGATGGCTGTGGGAGCCCTGGAGCTGGGGCTGGGGACTGCTCAGAGAAGCCTGGAGATTAGGATTGCTTAGGGAGGACTGCAGGGATGGGTGGCTGAGAGGTGAGTGAAGTCCTGCGGGTACAGACAAAAACCAGAGACGCCAACATTACTGATGGTAACTAGTCCCCCTTCCACCCATAATGGGCCAGCAGTGACCAGACTATGAAAGTGGCAACACAATGTCCTTCCTACTTCGTCCCTGACAGTGAGATTGGTACTGCCCACCTGAGGGCTGCACTCCATCTTCTTTCTAGGAAAAGCTACATCTACCAGATCTTACTGGTTGAGAACTAGTTAGGGAACTTAGGGTACAGAGGTGATGGCTAGTGTCGGCAGTCACAAGAGGATCTCAGATGCTCAAACCTCCCTCCCTTTCATCCCTCTAACTAAGCAATACCCAGTGTGGACATGGCCAGGACAGCCACTCACCTGGTACATCATAGCCCGGGCCCAGGCCCAGGCCTCCACTGATGCCCAGGTGGGTCATGGTGTGGGTCAAATTGGACGTACTGTTGCCCCCACTCAAGCTAGGGTAAGCTGTCTCTTCGGGATCCAGGGGAGTGGGCAGCGGTGGGGGAAAGTGCAGATTGGTGAGGTCAGGTAGGGAGCCCCCCGTGTTCATAGCAGGTGGGAGGACAGGCACACTGGCAGGCTGGTCAGGAGACGGAAAGATGCTAACAGAAGAGAAAAAAGCATGGGAGGCCATGGTCAAGGAATAACAGAGATCAGTCTCCTAATCTGCCTCTCTGACCTCCACCTCTTAGCCAGTCTCATTAGGGTACTTACTTAATTCCAGGGACTTCACAGGACCGAGGTCGGGAGGAAGATGATGACAGCTGAGGGAGAATGTAGAAAATGAGGACAGTGCTCAGTGGAAAACTCAAGACTTCCCTGGAAGTCTTGTCCCATGGAGAGGGAACAGCAGAGGGATAGTGGGTAGTACCCAGTGGGCCATGCCTACCTTCTTAGCATCCCATGGTTTCAGCAAATGCTTGTCATCTAGCAAGTTCTCCTCAATAGCAGGGACTTGAAAGAGAAAGACTGGTGATTGGGAGTGTGGAAAAGGAGCCAGTAAAGCAGATAGGAAGCAAAGGCAGGTGGGAAGGAGTCCTGCTCCTTGAACCTACACAAAATCTCCAACAACCACCCAGAAAGACTTTGGCCTTCACTACCTACAAGTGGTGAAGGACACATACCTTTGGAGTCCATTTCACCATCCAGAAAACCTGAAGAAGATACAGTGGTGTTGGCTGCAGTGCCCTCTTACCTACCTTCTTCAAAGCAAAGCTCCATGGTTACTTCTAACCTTGGGACATGGCCACTTACCCCCACGTCGGCTAGGCAGGATGCTGGGAGGTGTGGGGACTGGATAAGTGTCCTGGGGACTGGGGTTCATCACGCTTGTGTGAAGGGCAGAGTCAGAGCTTGTCCTGTGCAGGGAGCAGACATGAGCTGGTACCAGTAATAGTTTTCTAGTTCCCAGGGGAAAACACTAGCTGGACTAGAACAGGGTGGGGATGAGGGAGTAGAGCCCCTGAAACTACAGATAAGGAAGATGTGGCCCAAAGAAGGCAAAGACCATCACCTGTTAAGTGCAGACGGTAGTCGAAACAACTGCCCCTTCTCTGCAGAGAAATTCCCCCAGGGCACCATCCTGGATTGGAGAAACAAAGCCATTAAGAGAGGTAGCAGTGGACAAGAACAGTGGGCATAGAGGCTGGAAAATGTAGGGCAGCCAAGGTGGAAGTGAATGAATGGGCCAGGCACCCAGGATCATGCCTCTTCCTTTTTGGTTCCTTCTGTGGATCTCCTCTCCCAATCTCAAGAGATTTTGAAATGTCTCAATTTCTCTCTGTTAAGACAAACTGAATGGGACTCCTGAGTTGCCCAGCAACTCTGCTAGGTATGCGTTTCAGAAGTGAAATGGACAAGGAATGGAGTTCAGAAGTCTAAGACTCTATATCTGGCAACCAACCTTGGTATTATGTAGAAGGCAGCCATTTTCACCTGCTACCCTGCCCTTCTCCCTCCCCATTACACACACCTACTCTGGCTACAGCTCCCATTGGTCCTCCACTGGCTGGACCAGAAGGCTTGGCCACTCACTTGTGTCAACATGGCCAAGACTGGACTCTGACCCACCTACTCCACCTTCCCCCACCCCTTTCAGCCCTGCTACTATAGGAGGTACTATTGAAACTCTAGCCTAGTAATCCCAGCCCCAACCCAAGGTCCTTCTAGAAACATGTCAGAGAGTGAGCATGAGATTCTGCCTGCCATGGTCACTTACTTACCTTCTCCAGCTGGACTCTGGGGGAGGAGATAAATAAGCAGGACTATAAGGAGAGCTGTCAATGTGAACAGCACCAGTTAAGGAAAATGGTGGAGAGGAACTAGATCAGCTGGAGACCAGACAAGAATAATAGAGGCAGCAAATGAGATGCTTCAAGAAATACACACCTTTCTCTTCTACAAGGATCAACAATGGAAAAGAAGGGAATCAAGACTAACAGAGCAGCTTGGCACCTGTGGCTCAAGTGGCTAAGGCGCCAGCCACGTACACCTGAGCTAGTGGGTTCGGATCCAGCCCGGGGCGCCAAGCAACAATGACGGCTGCAACCAAAAAATAGCCGGGTGTTGTGGCAGATGCCTGTAGTCCCAGCTACTTGGGAGGTAGAGGCAGGAGAATCGCTTAAGCCCAGGAGTTGGAGGGTACTGTGAGCTCTGATGCCATGGCACTCTACCCAGGGTGACGGCTTGAGGCTCTGTCTCAAAAAAAAAAAAAAGAAGACTAACGGTGCAAGAAAAATATGAGAATAGGGGTTGGGGGGAGAGGTCTTGTAGACCTCAGAGGTTGAAAGAAACCTAAGAACAGAGATGTGAGGAGGAGGGACCACACCTTTTAGCAGGAGACTTATCAGAGAAAACCGCTTCTGCAAACAAAGAGTGAGCTGAAATAAGAACACTCAGAGCCAGTCTGAGACAGCCAGAGATAGAACGCACAGTCTTAGGAGAAACAACTCCCTATCACAGGAACCAGGACTTTTCTAGGAGGCTGGCAAAGGAGAGCTCCTAGAAAAGGGTCAGACTGGATAACCATTAAAGTCCCTGAGGAACCCGCCACCCACCAGACCAGACCCCCCAAATCTTCTGTGAAGGATATATGGCGGGGGTAACGGCGGAGAGGGGACACCATTCTGCGGGCATCTCGTTGCACCCGTTCCACCAGCCCATGGTGCCTCGTGCTCCTTGATGAATCTAAAGGTGAGTGGAGGGGGCTCTGCCAAACCAGACAGGTAAGTCAGGAAAAGAGGCAGCCTAAGAACCTCCACCCCACCCCACCTCCCGCCTCGGCTGGTATCTACTTACCTGGAACTCAGCCAGGCTGCAGCCAATCTGGTTGACATCGGGTAGAGAACCACCATAATGGGAGCTCCTTGTGTATGCCAGCCGTAGTTTTTGGGCCTGCAACTGAGAAATGAGGGACAAATGGGAATGTCAGGGAGGGTACTAAGCACTGTTCCCTCTAGCCATCCTTACCATCTTTGTCACCAGAACATGCTGGTGCTTTTAAGAAACTTGCCAGGGTAGGTGTGCAGTGGCTCATGCCTATACTCCCAGCACTTTGTGAGGCCAAGGCAGGTGGATTACTGAGCTCACAGGTTCGAGACCAGCCTAAGCAAGAGTGAGACCCCATCTCTAAAAATAACCAGGCTTTGTGGTAGGTGCTGGGGAGCCTGAGGCAAGAAAATTGCTAGAGCACAAGAGTTAAGAGATTTCTGTGAGCTATGACAGCACTTTACTGAGGGCAACAAAGTGAGACTCTGTCTCCAAATTAAAAAAAAAAAAAAAAACAAGAAAAGAAAAGAAACTAGACAGTGGCCAAGTGCTGTAGTTCACTCACACCTGTAATCCCAGCACTCTGGGACTCTGGGAGGCCAAGAGTTTGAGACCAGCTAGGATAGTCAAGACTATGTCTCTATAGAATTTTTTTTTTTAGAGACAGAGTCTCACTTTATAACCTTCAGTAGAGTGCTGTGGTGTCACAGCTCATAGCAACTTCCAACTTCTGGGCTTAGGTGATTCTCCTGCCTCAGCCTCCCAAGTAGCTGGGACTACAGGCGCCCACCATAACGCCTGGCTATTTTTTTGTTGCAGTTTGGCCAGGGCTGAGTTTGAACCCGCAACCTTCAGTATACAGGGCCAGTGCCCTACTCACTGAACCACAGGCACTACCCTACAGAAAAAATGTTTAAATAAAAGAAAAAAAAGAAACCTATAATCCTAGCACTTTGGAAGCTGAGGCGGGTAGACTGCTTAAGCTCAGAAGTCCAAGACCGGCTCGGCGCCTGTGGCTCAAACGGCTAAGGCGCCAGCCACATACACCTGAGCTGGCGGGTTCAAATCCAGCCTGGGCCCGCCAAACAATAATGATGACTGCAACCAAAAAAAATTGGCCAGGCGTTATGGTGGGCGCCTGTAGTCTTAGCTAGTTGGGAAGCAGAGGCAGGAGAATTGCTTGAGCCCAGGAGTTGGAGGTTGCTGTGAGCTGTGATGTCACAGCACTCTACCCAGGGCGACAGCTAGAGTCTCTGTCTCAAAAAAAAAAGAAAGAAGTCCAAGACCAGCCTGAGCAAGAACAAGATCCATCTTTACTAAAAATTTAAAAAGGGCAGAGCCTGTGGCTCAAGGAGTAGGGCACCGGCCCCATATCCTGGAGGTGGTGGGTTCAAACCTGGCCCTGGCCAAAAACTGCAAAACAAAAAATTAAATTAAATTAAAATTAAAATTAAAGAAAAAAAAAAAAACGCTAGTCAGGCATTGTGGTAGATGCCTGTAGTTCCAGCTACTTGGGGGGCTAAGGCAAGAGGATCACTTGAGCCCAAGTGTGTGAGGTTGCTGCGAGCTATGATGATGCCAGGGTACTCTACCC